AGTATCAAGGTGAACCTTCAAGAAAATAAAGGACTGCAGATAATTGAGAATGCAACATCGTCATTTGATGAGATCGACCAAAGAATCCAGACAAAATGGACGTCGCCGTGACAACTAAATATTTTTCATAGTTCTACTCCTGTCTGGCATTGTTTCCCGAAGGCTTTTCTCATGCCGGCTGGACTGTAGTTTCGAGCTCTACTGGGTCTCATCAACCCCGCCAGCGAGAATAGAACTTGCATCTTGTGAATCATGGCCACGACTACCAGTGGGTCATGTGAGTCAAGAATAACTGTTCACTTCGAGGCCGACTCACATTATTATGGGGCAGATTGCGCCCGAAGTGGAGCTGGACTTCTCGGCCCAGGTTGGGACTCAAGTTTACGCATCTTCTCGTACTCCTCAGAACACAAATTGCCAGGCCGTCGTCATGTCGACTGGACCCCAATGTGCCTGTGTGGCAAAAACGTTAGCCGGACGAGTGATGCCCACCGTCTGGCGCCATGACCATCACGTGCTGCATTCAAGCATGTGGAGCCCAGCCAGGCCAGTCGGCCTGGGTATGCTTGTAATTGTTTTCCCACTCCAACAACTTCCCCCATTATGCATCGTCACATGTGCATACTCTATGTGTGTGTATGTGTGTGTGTGAAGGTGTGTATTACTTCATAAAAGCATACGCCTAGGCACATGCAATACGTGTGAGCCGGCATACATGCAAATATTGCGGAGGGTGCTAAGCCTGCCTGAATGGTCAGTCGTGACGACACGTGAGGCGGCCGGCCGCCGGATGACGAGAGCTTGGGGCCTGACAGACTGACTCATTTTCCATACAAAAGATGAGTCTTTGTAGCCAGCTTCCCCTCCTCCTCATCTTTAAAGGTCCTTTGCCCCCTGTTCCTTTTCCATAGTCCACACCCATTTAGTACAGATAGCCTTAAAGTGTGTGTTTGTGTTGGTGTCTGTGACTGTGTGTCAGTGGGTGTTTGCATGCACTTTACATGGACAGTGGGAAAAGGTAGGCATTGGACGGGGGATGGGATATTTTGATGTTTTGTCACTGGAGCCCGCCGTGTTGGTTCGAGCCCGGCCGAACTCGAGAGGTGTCTAAAGTCGGGTTGAGCAGGCAGGGCGGCCAGATCAATCGGCGTAGAAAAACTGAATTGGTATCATTTTATTGCCCTCGGCCAAATTATGCCTCCAAACTCGTCTGATTGTTGGGTCATGTGGGCCTGTATCAGCCAACTTCCCACTGCACCGATTCGGACGCACATACATGTGGACATGTATACATGGCCAGGTTGTCGGTCCCTCTACAACTGTCCGTCTTGTTGTCCTGATTACGGCCATCTCGAGCACAAACGGCCCTGACGCCGACGTCTGGCAAGTTGCATAGCTACCTCACAGTCCGAGGCGTGTTGTCCTGTCCTGTCCTGTCCTGTCCTGTCTTGTCCTGTCCTGCAGGTCTGTGGAGGCGGGGTCACCTTCTGGACGTTTGGCTCCGACTCGCTGGACGTTGAGCTTTGTTGGGTTGGCTGAGGCAAAAGTAGAATCACACAAAGTTATATATATATATATATATAAAGAGAGAGAGAGAGAGAGCATGGGAGAGTAGAGTCGAACTGACCATACAGACTTGAGAGAGAAGCATAATAGAAAATGGTTGATGAGGCAAATGTGGCCTTAAATTCGCGACGGACGACGAGGCGGGCCGAGGCCGGTTGAAATGGAGACGCAGCAGCAGAGGCAGAGGAGACAAGAGCAAATTGAGGGGAGCAGGTAAAACTGGGAGAACGGTGGTATGGAGGCGGGTTTATCGGAGGTCGTCGGTTCGGCGTTTGAGTGAATGTCATACTACAATGGTGGTGAGTATTGGGCCAAAAAGAAGCGCAAACACCCCCAACTCCTCCCCATTCTGGCCGAATTCTCGGTATCATTACTCAGCCAGCATGCCATCTGGTCCGGACTACCAGGCCCACTTGACGGCTACGTCGTCTCTGCCGGCCGACCTGCGTCGTATTGAGTTAGCCCATCTCATACTGCGCCATCACTGTCCACTAGGACCGAAATACACCTGAGCCAGGGAGCTTCTTCACAATACATAAGCACACACGCATGCACACACACACATATGCATATTTATGCACATTTGTATGCACATATACATACAAGGGGTACTGGGTTCGTCGCGTTCCCCAAATCAAGCGAGTAAGAGCAGAGTTAATCTGACCATTCATTATGGAGGAGTGGTCAATGCAGCGTAAGTGGACGGACCATCTGTAGCCTGAGTCGGCACCATAGCGTACCAACAGGACACTTTGTGATGAAGTGGACCTACGGGTAAACGCAAGCGGCTGCTTCATGTACAGGTTTTACAACGCGTACTTGCGTTGCAGAGGCCGGTGTGAATTTGCAGACTGTCCTCTGGTCAGCATGGCAACAAGGAAGGAAATTTCGATGATATAAGTAGCTTTCAAGAATATCGGCCATGCCGACATAAGAAATTGGTTAACTCAGCAGTGATGAGATCGTAGATATGAAGACCAAGATTGTGTGGCCTTTTGTGTGGTCGCAGTCTCCTTTCGTTGTATAGAGATTGTTTGACCTTGTTTTCGCAACATGGTCATGTTGGTAGGAAAAATTATTGGAACGCACCTAGTCCGGGGTCCATTGTCTGCATGATCATTTCCAAAATTGAACCGTGGACGTGG